CATTCCTGGTGACATTAGGGGCACAGTCCTGGACCCTGAGGCTCCAGAGCTGCCCATGTTCTTTTTCTTTTTTCTTTTTTGAAGAGGTTTTCGCTATAGGGCACGTGCGCTCACCAGAAAGACAGAGAGAGACAAGACAGAGAGAAGTGAGAAATCACCCCCCAGAGGGGATGGCCACACCGCAATCCCTTCTCCTCCATTCTCTTCTCAGGATCTTGGGCATGCACGCACACGCGCCCAGTGTGAGTTTAAGCCACCGGGTCCGGGACACAAACTGTGGTCAACTCCATGGGAGTCCAGCAACATAGCCCTTACACCAACTGCTAGTCCCATCTGTGTTCTTTTTCTTCCTCTCTTTTTCCTTTATTTTATTTATTTATTTATTTATTTTTGTCAGAGGGCACATGCACTCATAGAAAGGACAGAGAGAAAGAAGGAAAGTGAGAAAGCACCCCTCTCCCACGGGGAATGACTGCACCACAATCCCTTCTCCTCCATTGCTCCCTCCTGTCAGGATTTTGAGCACACACGTACCTGTCCTGCTTTTCAGGCTGATGGGGCTAGGACTCAAACCACCCACTTGGCCATGTGGGATCTTGTTCCCTTAGCTACCACACCACTGGCAGATCCCTGGCCTTGTTCTTAACAGCAATTCCTTCTAATAAATCTTGCTCTGGGCCTTTGCTAATGGGTCTGAGGGACATGCGGCCTGTCTGGACCTTCCCTGGTTTTAGAGAGGCCTAGTGGGCCAGCCTTCCAAGGCCACTTCCGTATGACAGAGTCAGGGAGCTGGGCACTCCAGCCCTGAGGCCAGAGCTGGGCGTGGCTCTGCTGTACAAGGCTGGCCTGCCGCTCTCTCTCTCTCTCTCTCTTTTCCTTAAAAGAGATTTTTGCTATAGTGTGCATGCACTTTCCAGAGAGACAGAGAGACAGAAAGCAAGAGATCACTCCCCAGGGGGATGGCCACACCACAGTCCCTTCTTTTCCATTCTCCTCATTGGATTTTGGGGATGCACAAACATGCACCCGGTGTGAGGTTAAAGACACCAAGTCCGGGACGCGAACCGCAGTCGACTCCGTGGGAGTCCAACAATGTAAGCAGCCTTCTGCTGGTCCCAGCCTCCCACCCTCTTTGCCCAGGTGAGGTGTCACCCACTCTAACAGCACTTTGAGACCCCATCTCTCTGGTCTTCAGAGCATCTCTGAGGGGTGCCTGGGCCAAGCATGTAGAGCTGCATGTCACAGTTATTGGCTAGGGGCAGGCGGGGGGATGGGGGGTGGGCCCTCAGCCTGAGAGGCCAAGTGTGAGCTGAGGGGTGGGGTGGGGTGCTCAGGGCGCCCCCTGGGGGTCAGAGATCTCAGAAATCAGGAAACCACCGCTTACCAGTCTGCTGACCACAAGAATTTTTTTAAGATGGAGGCCCGGATTGAGGGGTTCTGTCATCTCTAGCGCCTTAATCAGATTCCTAACGTGATCAGCAGCCTGCGGGGGACAAAACAGATCATGTCAAGGACAACATGAAAAATCAAAGCTGGGCAGGTTTGTCAACCCTGGCCACATATTGGCATCAGCTGGGAGATACAGAATGACTTGTGAGGGGTGCCACCCCCAGAGATGCAAATGTAACCGGACCGTGGGAACCCAGGCATCAGAATATTTCAAAGCCCCGCAGGTGAAGCTTTGAGCAACATTATTCACCCAAGAGCTGGTGATGCCCTCCTCCTGAGATTGGGAAGAGAAGCTGACCTTTCAGACCCACCTGGGCAGAGCCAGGAGCCGGCCCCTGCCCTGTCTACACTGCAGCCCACCTCGCCAGCAGCAAGCCAGTTGAGCTGGCCCAGGAGCTTTGGCTCCATCTGACATGAGTCACCGTGTTTCTGCTTCTCTGTCATGCCAGCGAAGCCCTCCCAAACGCCTGTCAGTCAGTGGAAACACCGAACTTTCCAGCACAGCAGGGGAGGGGGCTGAAAGCTTAGCCCTTTGGTCTGAGGTCACCAGCCAAGTGACTGATTCCAAAGTTTGGGTTCTTTCCAGCGGATCCTCCTGCCCACTCCCCACCCAGGAGTAGGGAATTCTTAGTGTCCAGCCGCAGAGAAGTGCCAAAAGGGAAATCCAGGGTGCCACGGTAGCCAGGCTGAGTCAAGAGGAGTGTCCCAGGGTTTGAGGAGGGATGAGGGAGGGCCATTCACTGCCAACTCTGCCTTGGAACTGACTCTCAGGCCAGGCCCTAGGGAGGTCTGCCCAGAGCTCTGGGGTCATTAGGAGTTAAGGACAGGACTGCTCTCTTGTTCCGGCCATGAGCCAGCACTGGGCCGTTTGCATGAGTTCCTCCCAGGTATGAACTGTCCCCTGTCTCATCCCACCCACAAAACCCACGATCTCAGAGCTGTGCAGAGGAACGGGCAACTTCCTCTTCTTGCCATGGCCCCCTGGAGACTCCCGACTTGCCACACTCTCCATCAAGGCCATGGATTGTATTTATTCAAAAAGTTACGTTTTAGCTAAAAACACCAACTGCTATTAGAAAGAGGAATCTGTCTGGACGTTGAGGTTTCGTAAAGAATTCAAGGCGTTTCTGACTGTATTTGCGGGCCAGTTAGGTCTCCGTGGGAAACGGCACGCCTTGTGGACAACATTGGGGCCAGGGACTACGTGTTCAATGCCTGAGCAAACCTAACTGGTCCCTAAAAAATGACCTTCCCTGACTTCTGAGACACTACCACGATTCGTACTGTCCGGTAACACCGATCGAACGCCGTGTGACAGCGACCCAGGCACTGCTCCAAACTGTCCCGCTTCCCACCTCATTTGGCCCTTACAACAAACGGGTGGAATGATGTCCATTTTACAAACAAAGTACTTGGGATTTATCCAAGTAGAGATGTCCGTGCAGCTTCCACAGGGAGTATGTGGCAGAACCAGGGTCACCTTCACTGCCTGCCCCCCCCAACACAGGCACTTTATGAGAGAGGGAGAGGAAGGCAGGAAAAGAGAGAGACAGAAATAGGGATTTTTGACAGTTCTCTGTGTTGTGATCCTCCTGGCCCAGCCTCAGAATGAGCTAGATTTACAGGCACGCACAACTACGTCTGGCATGTTCAGGCTGGCCCAGGGAACTGAACCTGTGCCTCCCATGCAGCTTCTAGAACGCCAAGCGCTACTCGCACACCACCTGGGCCCGCTGCCTGACTTGTGAGTTGCACTGCCCAAACAGCCAAACCCGAGCTGACCCCCTCGGCAGGAAATATGGCAGTGGGGAGGGTGAGAGGAAACCAAGATGCAAGGGGAAGACCTCTCAAGGGCGAGGGTCGGGGGAATGCAAGGTGAGGGTCAGGGGAGCGTGCAGGGTTCCTCCTCGCTTCTGTTTCCAGGCCCACCTTCTGAGTCCTGGAAGAACTTACGGTGCTCATGTTTCCTTCTCTCGCAAGCTCATACACAGCTAGAATCTGGCGGGCATCGATACTGTTTTCATCTTTCTCTAGGATTCTAAAATAAGGAAGAGGAGCCATGTGAGTGGAGAGTATTGAAAGGCAAGGCGAGGACAGTGTGTTGGCAACTTCTAATGGTCTTCTACTATCCATTTCCCCCCTTATTCTTCCAATGATAGAACTCTTGGATGAACCAGGCACATGGCTACCCGGAATATAGACTACATTTCCCAGCCTGCCTTTGAGCTTAGCTGGGCCACGTGACCAAGTTCTGGCCAATGAGATATCAGTGAAAGTGCCGAGTGAGCCAATGAGATGTCAGTGAAGGTGCCGAGTGGGCCAATGAGGCGTCAGTGAAGGTGCTGAGTGGGCCAATGAGGCGTCAGTGAAGGTGCTGAGTGGGCCAATGAGACATCAGTGAAGGTGCTGAGTGGGCCAATGAGGCGTCAGTGAAGGTGCCGGGTGGGCCAATGAGGCGTCAGTGAAGGTGCCGGGTGGGCCACTGAGACGTCAGTGAAGGTGCTGAGTGTGCCAATGAGACGTCAGTGAAGGTGCCGAGTGGGCCAATGAGGCGTCAGTGAAGGTGCTGAGTGGGCCAATGAGGCGTCAGTGAAGGTGCCGAGTGGGCCAATGAGACGTCAGTGAAGGTGCTGAGTGGGCCAATGAGGCGTCAGTGAAGGTGCTGAGTGGGCCAATGAGACGTCAGTGAAGGTGCTGAGTGGGCCATGCAGCTGTGCTCCAGCAGCACCCCCTCTGTTCCTGCTCTTCCTTCCCTCTTGCTGTCTACATGTGGCCCATGTGAAGAGCAGCCTAGGAACGGGACAGCAACAAGACAGAGGGGCCTGGGACCCCACAGAGCCTAGCCACCATCCTGGTCCTGAACCACCATCCAAACTTACACTAGGGAGAGGAGGAACATTTTGTTACTTAAGTCACGTATTTGGGGTCTTGGTTACAGAAACCTATTCATAGCTCAACTAACCAGATGTGACCGTGGTCCCATGGTCTGAGGGTGGCCAGAAAGGTGCAGCAGGGGACAGTCTGTGACTATAAGTTGGAAAGGGAACTATCGTTTTAGTCACACGTCATTATGAAGACGCAGCTTCTTATTAGGGGGCTTTCAGTCTGATCAGAGAATGACATTTGCTTAATCAAGCATTATTATTATTATTATTATTATTATTTTGCCATTGAACAGGTACACTCGCCAAAGACAGACAGAGAGGGAAAGTGAGAAATCACACACCAGGGGTGTTGACCATGTCACAATCCCTTCTCTTATATTCTCCTCTCAGGATTTTGGGCACACATGTACACACACCCAGCATGATTTTCAAGCGGCCCAGGTCCAGGACTCAAGCTGCAGTCAGCCATGTGGGAACCCAGTGCTTTAACTACCATGCCATTTGCTAGCCCCCTAGTCAAGTATTTTTCTAATTATCATATAAAGTATTTTTCTTATTAACATATAAAACATGATTAGGCATCAATATTCAAAGAGTTCTAGTCATTCTTGACGGTTCTGAAAACATCATCACCTGGGAACCAGCAGTTGGTGTAATGGCTATGTCGCTGGACGCCCACGTAGTCGACTGTGGTTCGCATCCCGGCCCCGGTGGCTTAAAACTCACGCAGGGCGCGTGTGCGTGCGTGCCCAAGATCCTGAGAGGAGAATGGAGGAGAAGGGATTGTGGCGTGGCCATCCCCCCTGGGGGGTGATTTCTCGCTTTCTGTCTCTATGTCTCTTTCTGTCTGTCTGGCGAGCATACAGGCCCTATAGCGAAAACCTCTCCAAAAAAAAAAAAAAAACAATAATAATAATCACTTGGAAATGTAAAAAAACAAAAACAAAAACAAAAATGCTTTTAAATGACCATGGACCAAAGAAGAATCAGAATAGTTATAAGAAAATTCTCAGAACCAGGGCCACAGCTTAGTGGTTAAGGGTATTGGATCTCACATGGCCAACCACAGTTCAGGTCCCAGATCTAGTGGCTTGAGGAACAGGCCAGGGGTGTGTGCCCCAAATCCCCATCTCAAGAGGATGAAGAGAGAAGAAACTGCAGCATGACCACTCCCCAATAGGGGGCAAGAAGAGATCTCTGTTTCTCTCTGGTGAGTGTATAAGCACTCTTGCGAAAGAAAGGAAGGAAGGAAAAGAAGAAAGAAAATTCTTAGAACCAAATGGTATTAAGAATAGTATACACCCAAATATGTAGACAATTGGGGCCAACGGGTGGCATGGTGGTTACAGGAATCCCACACAGCCGACTCTGCGGTCTGAGTCCTGGACTCAGCAGCTTGAACACACATTGGGCATACCGGGTGCGTGTGCGTGCGTGCCCAAGATCCCGAGAGGAGAATGGAGGAGAAGGGATTATGGCGTGGCCATCCCCCCGTGGGGTGATTGGGGTGATTTCTCATTCTGTGTCTTTCTCTGCCTTTCCTTGACTCTTTCTGGTGAGCACATGTGCCCTAGGGCAAAAATCTAAAAAACCTCCAAAAACAAATGTGTAGATACTGTTGAAATAGTACCTCAAAGGACATCTATAGACATAAACACTTACATTCTAAAGTAAGATTAAAAATTGATGAGCCAGGAACCCAACTCAGGTGTCAAGGTGCAGCAACAAAATAACTACAAAGGAAGCAGTTGGCAGGAAGTAACAGTTAAGAACAGAAATTAAAAATTAGAAAATAGAGATACAATAGAGAAGAGATACAGAACTGAAATCTGATTTTTTTTTTTTTGAGAGGTTTTTGCTATAGGGCGTGTGCGCTCGCCAGACAGACAGAGAGAGACAGAGAGACAGGAAGTGAGAAATCACCCCCTGGGGGGA